TAGAAGATTACGGTGGTAGAGAAATTGTTGTATGAAAATTTGTTTTCATGTTTTCCTTGTTTCTGTGAGCGTGACAATGGACTTGTTATACAAAATATTTTGTAGTGAAATTTGTTATATTGGGTAGTTAAATCTGCCCTTGCAGAATATGGTGTTATGATTAGTAGTTTGTGTTTTTGGTCCAATAGGTTGTGAAATCAAATCTGTTTCTTCAGAGGGCAGGAGGCAGAAATGGCACAGTACAGACTGGAATATAGAGGAAGCTGTCAGACATCTTTTTGTGTATGGAGGAAGCCAATATAAGGCAAACAACAAATTGCAATGCCTTCTAGTTTGTTGAACGGTGATTATTGCACTAATCCGAAGATCTTGAGCATATATATGGACTTCAAGGAGCAGGCATTCTGGTTTTCAGTCTAGAGGAGCGTCCAAGAGCAAAGTCTCTAAAGCACAGCTCTTCTTTTCCATGAAAACCAATGCCTTCTCCCAGGTCCCATTTCCATCACTGTTGTCTGCCACCCAGCTGGAAGCCTCAGTTATTATTCTATACCTTCCCTTGCCTTCAAGTCTATTCATCAACAAGTTTGGATAATTCTGCTTCCTTCATACTTTTCCACATCTGTGTTTCCTTTCTAAACTCCCTGCAACCCCCTCCCTACTTTGTATCTAACCTATAGTGAGTGAGCTATTGTTCACTAATTGGCTTCCTCCTCCTTGACTCTTCTCGTCTTGCTTCTTTGCATTCACTAAATTTGAGGTGCCTGACACTCAGGTCAGTTCCCTATCTGCTCTAGCTTTTCTCATATGTCCTATATATTGGACAAACTAGACTCCCAAATTTCTTGAGTTTTCCCAGGACATCTAAGAATCGATCTTCTTGGCTTTACATCTTTGCTCAAATTATTACTTTTGCTTTGAACACCCTCTTTATCATCCCTGCCTGTTAAAATCACGCTTATCTTTCATGCTTACTAAATGTTGTTTCCATTCTGTAACTGTACTGATTCTTCTCTACCAGAAAGGACTTCTCCCCACCCCCAAATTCCTCCCCATCTCTTTCTCTGAAATTCCTAAACCCTTTTTCACTTATCTTATTTTACTCACTAAGTTTTATTTCAAACCTATAGCTGGGACTCAAGAATTACAAAAGTGCTGCATGTAACTTAAAACATTTGTATCCCTTAATTTTGTCATTAGAAAAAGAAACAACAACAACGAAACCTATAAGCTCTCTGAGGGTAAGGAAATGTAGTTGTTTTTGTATTCCCTGTGTTCATCCTTTCTTTCCTTCTTTCTTCCCTTCCAATGTTCACTTATTCACATGTTCATTTTGCAAATATCTGTTATGTGCCCATGATGTGCCAGCATGAGCCTGGTTCCTGTCCTTTCAGAGTTTCCTGTTAGTCTACACTGTTGAACAGAGCAGTGTAGACAAAGCTGTCATTCAATAACTGTTCGTTGGTAGAATGAAATGGAGCTGAAATTAGAGTTTACTTTGAGAACAGTCATAGTCTGAATCCCAACTAAGTTTTCTATTCTTTATGCAGCAGTGAAATCTACCCTGACTGGCTGTTTTCACTTTGAATCTGTGAAAGGCAATTAATAAGAGTAGGACCATTTTGCTCAGCAAGGTTAGGCTGGCCCTCACGATTCATTTGAATATAGGGACAGAACACTAATGACGTACATCACTTGGCAGGAAAAAAAATGCCTTTTTAAAATTTCTGATGCCTACAGACAGGTCTAGGCTAATTTCAGATGCACACCTTAGAAAATCAAGGACACTTTGTTTGAAACCTGAGTATGGCCAAACCACCAAGATTACTTCTATTTTAATTGTAAAAATTGTGTTGTTCTTCATATTAATGACTTGCTACCTTTCCTAGATTTCATCCTGCTTCTTACCTGACTTCCTGTGACACCCTGCTTTTTGCTGTTTCAAGGATCACTTTGGGAGGACATTCAAGGCACAGAGGCATTGGAGCCAACTCTACACACAGGAAATATTGACGTGAAAAAACCAACCTTTCGCCTCACTCCCTCACTTGCCCAATATCACCTTACCTACCCTTCTCCTCTGGGTGGTTTCCCAGTAGCACAGAACCACTCACTGTCCTTAGAAGCAATTCATTTCCTGTCTCACCCCCTCTAATAGTCCTTTTGGACTCCTCTTTCTGGAGCTGAGAAACACTAAAACATAGCACCAGTCTGTGTCTAGACAGGCACAAGTGCTGTGCTTTGACCTCATTTTTGCAGCTCACAGTTAATATTAAGGAAGGAAGAGTAAGCACTATAGTAATTAATTGGAAATACATTCTTTGGTGGTATAAAAAATTATATAAACATGGCATATGTGAGGGCAAGCCTTTCTAAGCCTCTGGGGCCTTGCAGTATTCCCCAGAGCCTTTAGAGGGCAGCAGCGCACTGGCTGACTCCAGGACGGTTTTAGAGAGGGGAACTCCCAACCAGAACCTTCCTCCTGGTCACCATGCCAAAGGTTGATTTGCCAAGCTCTGGCCTCTCAGGCTCTTTCTTTCTTTTTAGTTCTCTCTCTCTTTCTCTCCCTCTCTCTCCTCTCTTTCTCTCTCTCTGTTAAAATTATACACTCTGATGAAGTCGCCCTTCAACCGGAAAATGAAAGCTCCAATGAAAAAGTTAGACAAGCCAACAACAACAAAGAAAGAAACCAGGGAAAAGGGGAAAGGGGGCTGGTGAGGGGGAAGGACTTAAGAACAAGAAAAGGGCAGATGTTTCGTAAATATATGCAAAGCAAAACTGGGTGTACCCTGAACACTTCCACAGAGAAACAGACCAATCATTGTGTACTTCCTCCCGCCACACTGGTGGAGCTCTGCATTCAAAAAAGAAAAAAAGTGTGGCCGCAGGCACCCGCCTTTCAACGGTCAGTTCTGACATCCTGACTGAGCATCTCCCAATTGTCCAAAGAGAACAAAAACATTTTCATCTCCCCCACTGCAAACATTTCTGGGATGAGAAAAAGGCTGCTTCAAGAACTGGGAGGGCAGTTTAAGGTGACTGGCGGCCGAGTTAGCCAGCAGAACCCTCTGGTTTTTAACTCCCTTTGTGCTGGCCCTGGCAGCAAGTTTTGGGCTGAAACATAGCAGTGAGTAAGGCTGTGGAGGATGTTGGCTCTTTCTTAACTAGACCATATTGTATGTGGAAAGAAATATGCATTAAAACATATTGATGAGATGGTGGGTATTAAGCATGTTAAATGCATGGAAATTAACCAGACCGGCGGCATTTGATGTATATATTTCACACTCCCTTGCACATATTGCACACATACAGCGATGGCAAAGCTTTCTGCAACATATGGAAAAATAAATATTTTATCTGTGTGAGCTCTTAGCAGTCTCCAGGGTCTGTTGAAAGAAGAGTGCTCTCTTCCATCTCCGTCTCCCAATTTTCTCCCTTCACTGGGCTCCCACCCTCCCTTGTGCGCTAAGATGCCTTCCACTTATCAGCCTGGTTAGATAAGATAGACTCAGTCAGAACCTCCCTTTTGATAAACAATTAGTCATTGGCTCATGATAATTTAGAACAGTGATGCTTCCTTCAGTCTTTTCTGGAGAGGTAACTATTTCCCAAACCCTTTCCCACAAAAGAACTCAGGGAAAAGGCTTAGTAGAGTGTCTGGCAGGGGAGAAAGGGGAGGTGATAATAAACCACTCTGATAAGGGGTGGCAGCAGAAGCTATATGCTCTAGGCAGGTAAGTCTGCATCTCTGGGCCTCATTTTCCTCATCTGTAAAATGGGAATAATGATCCTTTTTCTTAGGGTTGTTGTGAAGAATAAATGAGATAAGCCATGTAAAGTTACTAGTGCTAGCACATGGTAAAGGGCTCAATAATGGTAGCTCCTTTCATAGAAACCATTAGTTCTGTGGCTTTCATCATATTAGCTATAAGAAGATGTTCCTTTCATCTCACTAATCTCTTTTAATGTCTTGATTTAGGGCAGAGAGAAATGCATTGTTATTGTAGCAAAGGTGAAAAGCGCGTTAGGATAAGCAATCTCTTCTTCAACATTTTGATCGCCCTGTTTGCCCTTCTGACACCTTCTTTTGGTTCACATTTGTCACTTCTGTGGCTATACCAAGAGCTCCTTGAAGTTGATGGTTAAACCAGCGGCACTTGGCTGCACTGCCACAGAAGCCCATGGAGCCTGAGCACTGTGGTCGACACCGACACCAACATACAGCATTTTGCTTATCATTTTTTTTTTAACAGTTTACCCTTTCACTATTTGATCTACTATTGTCACATCAAATGTTTAAGATGTTTTTCTGATAAAGCATATTACCCTCTCAATTTTTTTTTTAAAATAGTTTGCATTTGTAAAGTTTGATAAGTTCCCACCCAGTGAGTATAATGCACAGATAACATGGCACACTTCTTGGGTGGAGAACACAACTATTCTTTCAATTTTTTGTTTCAAAATATTCTAGGGGTACAAATGTTTTTAATTACATGGATTGGGCTATTTTGAAACAGGGTTATAAGTTGCCCATCACCCAGATAGTGTTCCTTGTACCCATTAGGTAGGTTTTCACTCATCCCCTTTGCAGCCCTCAACTCTGCTTGATGTTCCCTGAGTTTCACCTTCCTCTGCGCACATGTGTGCTCATTGGTTAGTTCCAATTTAATATCCAGTACATGTGTTGTTTGTTTTTCCATTCTTTAGATACTTCAATTAGGATAATGGTCTCCAGTTACATCCAAATTGTTACAAAAGGCCTTAATTCATACTTCTTCATGGATGAGTAGTATTCTATAGTACATTTTGTTAATCCACTCATGAATTGATGGGCACTTGGGTTGATTCCACATCTTTGCAATTGTGAATAGTACTGCAATAAACATTTGAGTGCAGGTGTCTTTTGATCAAATGACTTCTTTTCCTTTGGGTAAGTGCCCAATAGTGGCATTGCTGGATCAAATGATAGGTCTACTTTTAGTTCTTTCAGAAATCTCCCTACTGTTTTCCATAAAGGTTGTACTAATTTGTAGTCCCATCAATACTGTATAGCATTCCTTTCTCTCTGTGTCCACACCTTTTAAAAACATTAGAACGTTTTTTTAACTTTTTAATAAAAGCCATTCTAACTGGGGCAAGAAGATATCTCATTGTGTTTTAATTTGCATTTCCCTGATGATTAGTGATGTTGAGCATTTTTTATATGTTTATTGGCCATCTGTCTATCTTCTTTTGAAAAGCTTCTGTTCATGTCTTTTGCCCACTTTTTAAGGGGGTTGGGTTTTTTTCATGCTGATTTGCTTGAGTTCCTTCTAGATTCTGGTTCTTAGCCCTTTATCAGATGCATAGCTTGTGACTATTTTCTCTTATTCTGTAGGTTGTATATTTGATCGGTTGATCATTTCCTAAGCTGTGCAGAAACTTATTAATTTAAGAAGTCCCATTTGCTAATTTTTGTTGTTGCTGTGATTTCCACTGGGGTCTTAATCATAAATTTTTTCCCTAGGCCAATATCTAGAAGAGTTTTTCTAAAGTTTTCTCCTAGTATTATTATGGTTTCATGCTTTACATTTAAGTCTTTATCTATCTTGAATTAATTTTTGTGAGTGGTGAGAGATACGGGTCTTATTTCATTCTTCTGCACATGGCTATGCAATTCTCCTGGCACAATTTATTACATAGGGCTTATTTTCCTTACTGTGTCTGCTGTGTCAAAAAGCAGTTGGCCGTATGTGAATGGGTTTGTATCTGGGTTCTCTGTTCTGTTTCATTGGTCTATGCCTCTATTTTTGTGACAATACCATGTTGTTTTGTGTTATTGTAGCCTTGTAATATAGTCTGAAGTCTGGTAATATGATGCCTCTAGATTTGTTCTTTTTGCTTAAGATTGCTTTGGATATTCAGGCTCTTGGGAGGTCACAGTATGTTATATACCTTTTGGGGGAGGGAGACAATTATGAGAGGGACTTTATCTAACAAATGCAATCAATGTAACCTGGTTCTTTGTACCCTCAATGAATTCTCAACAATTAAAAAAAAAAAAGAAAATAACAAAACAGTGGAAAGCTGTCAATTTCAGTGTTTTTTCTTTTTCTTTCTTTTTTTTTTTTTTTTGAGATAGAGTCTTACTTTGTTGCCCTTGGTAGAGTGCCGTGACATCAGGGTGTTTATTAGTTCAATTCTCCCTCCCACCCCTTTCCCACTTCCACTTCCTTTCCCCAAGGAAATCCTCACCCCTTTCCTTGTCCCCTCAGTTTACGTGATTTAACACTGAGATTGGCCAGTTGTTGTAGCTCACACCTGTAACCCTAGCACTCTGGAAGGCCACAGCAACCTCAAACTCTTAGGCTTAAGTGATTCTCTTGCCTCAGCCTCCCAAGTAGCTGGGACTACAGGGGTCCACCACAACACTCAGCTATTGTTAGAGATGAGGTCTTGCTCTGGCTCAGGCTGGTCTTGAACTCATGAGCTCTGGCAGTCCACCCACCTTGGCCTCCCAGAGAACTAGGATTACAGGTGTGAGCCATTGTACCAGGCCAATCTCAGTGTTAAATCATGTAAACTAAGGTCACAAGAAAAGGGGTGAGGATTTCTAAGTCCAGTCAGTGTTGGAGATGGGAAGGAGAACTGAACTAATAAATACCTGATCTCTCTCTTCCCACTCTCAAATCTGTTGCTGATGTCTCCCTTTGGCCAAATTTGAAGGAAAGACAAGAGAAGTCAGTCTCCTGGGCCACAAGGCAAGGCAGAGAATGATTCTGGGGATTTGTTGGGGGTGGAGTGGGTGGCAATACTAATCAGCATACAGATTCTTTTCTTTTCCCTTTTACTCTAATATTTTCTGGGAAGAAAGATTCTTCCTTCCAGAACCTAAGAACCTAAAATCAGTTCTCTCTTAGTACTCAAGTACTGATTTTTCAAGGAAATTGAATGTAGCTAAGCTCATGAGGCAAGGATTTTTGTTTTGCTTGCTGCCATATCCTTAGTGCCTAGAACAGTGCCTGACACATAGTAAATGATAAGCAAATTTTAGTCCATTGAGTAAATGTACTCACCTCGGTTGTGGCAGACAGTACACACACATTATCTCATTTAATTATTACTACAATCTGAGTAAGTAGGCAGCATCTGAGCATGGTTATATAGGTGATATGGGGGTAAGTAGCTGTTAAAATCTAATACTCACCATCCCACTCACACCCAAGCCTTGAAACCAGGCTCAGAGCACTGCCAACCCATGGGAGGGATACACTTACACAAATGGGACATAGTTTTAGACTTTATCCACCTTATTGAGTTTTGTACCTAGCAAGTCTCTGTAAGTTTCAACATTACTTCCCATATGTATATGAGGAAGCTGAGTTTCCTCACAGCAAAGAATGCAAAGATTATAATCCAATCTGCCCATTCTCTGGGGTCCGTGAGAAGTGAAAACAGGCACTGGCATTCTGCACAGATGAAATACTTCCTATGGCAGAAACAGATGCTCACTTGTAGACCTCTCTGTGATTTTCAGGAAACATCAGGTTCTGATTTCGGGATCTGGGTCTGGGTTCTCTGCAGCACGAGAAGGTAGTAGTGGTAAAGACTCTTTTCTCTCTTAAAGGATAGAGAAACTCTCATGCAAGTCTGCATTCTAGTAAGGCTGTGCTACATGCACCAGCATAGTTACTCTGGGATGAAGAAAACCTCAGAAAACTCTTCAGATATGGGAATTTCTAAGGTATTCTTGGCACTTAAACGTAAGGATGAATGAAGTTATTATACAAGTATATTCCTTATGTGGGAGTGTACTAAAGACATTCTATTTTTGATCTTCTTTCATGTCTTTAGTCCCCAATTTCTCAGTCTCACTAGTACTGCAGAACACGCTGACGGTTCCCATACCCATCCTGACCAGGCCTGTCTGTCACTTGACCTCAGTTACCATCAATTATGATTCAGGCGACTGAAAGCATTAGAGGCAACAAGCAACAGAAAATAAAGGAAAACTCTGGCTTCATTCCTTTGGGTTTGATTTATGTTGGAATAGCTAAAGACATGACATAGAAATAGGAATGTGAAAATCCTACCTGAAGCCTAAGAGGGATGTTAGTCTCCCAGGTTTAGCATTTTCCAGTAACATAGAAGTCTGTAAAACACCATCCCATTACCTGCCTCATAACATACAGGAAAACTTGTGAATACAACAACTAGAATGAATTTGCATTAATATATATATATATATAGTTAAGTTACTGTTCATGCATAGCCTCTAAATCGTTCAAATTTTTGCCTTTTCTAGTGGGAAAAAAGCATATATTCATCTGTCATTTTTAGCAATGATTACTGAATACTTGGTATCAATGTTTCATCAGTATTTTCCCCTAACTATCATGTCTCCTCCCCTAACTTACTTCTTCACCTTTCTTGGCAAGGGCTGCACTTCTCTAACATAAATGTCTCACATGGAGGGAACCAAATTAACTACACAGACTTGTGCATTCAGAAGCAGAGTTGGGCTGGACACAGTGGCTTGGAGATGTGGTGGAAAGAACCCAGGGCCTCAGGGGAAGTATCTTGGCTCCCTGGAGTGTCAAGGAGAAAATAGCATGGGGGGCTGCAGCTTGAACAACAGGTAAACACCAGTAAGAGAAGCTGGCTCACAGATTTGACTGAGATGGCATGAGATGACAAGCCATCATAAGACTCAACAGGATGGCACAGAAAAGCAATGAGAAGCAATCACATCAAGTTGGGTAGAGGCTCAGATGCCCAAGCAGAGCAGCAGCAGTCCCTCCAGACCCAGCTTAGCACAGCCCTCTGCGGAGGGAAGGGGGAGCTGACCAATGCAGACACCTCAGGACTGAGTCTGGCTGCCTTGCTGCAGCCGAGAGATGGAGATATCTAGAATTTCACTTGCTTTGAGACACTGTATGTGTGTGCGTAATCAAATGAAATGAATGAAGAAGGCTTTCGTTGGATGTGTAATGTACTCACAGTAGTTTCCAAATAAGTGGTGTCACTCTTCTGGTAAATCACTCCAAGGCTTGGACCTAGTGCAGATGTTCATTGGGGCAGGGAACAGAGAGTGGCTGCATCTAGATCGGACAAGAAACAAACAAGAACAAGGTTGTTAAATAAATAGGTGACGGTGAGCACTTATTTTTATATAGAACTTTGGGACTTCCATGAGAGGCTGGTTTTGCATCTTTGCCTCAGAGAAGGGTGAAGAGAGAGGATGGTGTTCAGGCTCCATTTTCAGGGTTTCTACCTGACTGCCTGTGCAGCTTGAGACATCAAAACCACCCTGTCTGCTAACGGAGTGGACTTGGGAGCTAAGTTTGAGGTTGCTGTGAGGGTAGGGGAAGTGGCCACACTGTTCTTCAATCTTGCCACCGCCATTCATTTTTTTGTGTCCTTATTTTTCATTTATTATACTTATTCATTTATTTTTGATTGACAAAATATATTTATGTTATAAACATGATGTTTTGAGATATTTATACACTGTGGTTGGGCCATATATCAAACTAATTCAAATAAGCATTGCCTCACACATTTATCTTTTTTGTGGTGAGAACATAAAATCTACTCATAGCAATTTTCAAGTAAGCACTATATTGTTATTAGGTATAGTCACCACGATGTACAATAGATTTCTAGACTTACTCCTCCTAACTGAAGTTCTGTATCCCCTGACCGACATCTGGGTCTTTGGGAATTGCCATTCTACTCTCTGCTTCAATGTCGGGCTTCTTTAGATTCCTCATGTGAGTGAGGTCATGTGGTATTTGTCTTTCTCTGTGTGGCTGATCTCACTTCACATCATGTCCACCATAATCTAGCATCACCACCTCTAATGATCCAGTGTTCCTTCTCTAGACTTCCCATTTCTGGACATAGGTATTATCTCCATCCAGTTACTGGAGCCTTCAATTGAGGAGTCATCTTTAATTCTTCTCCCCTACCTCTCATATCCAACCAGCTGCCAGAGCCTGTGGCTTTTAACTCTGGCAAGGACATCTATGAAAGTCTCCTACATGGCTTAACTTTTTCCAGTTCTCTTTATCTTTTGCCATCTTTCACAGCAACATTTCATTAATTTTTCTCAAGTACCATTCTAAACACATCACTCCTTTATTCACCAAATCCTCTTTGCTTATCTCCTTGGTTTGGAATCCATGCTGCTACAACATGGCCCCAGTCTAATTTCACACTCTTATGTCTCCACTCCATTCTCTACTCCAGCAATGTCCTAGACTATCCTATCTATTCATTATATTTTCTCCCTTTCCCCAATGTTTACATATAGCTTCTTTAAGGGCCATCCAAATCCCACTTTATATACCATTTTCCAAAGGAAAGTACCCTTCTTGGATGCTCAAACACTTTTCCATACTACTCTCTTTGCACATTCTACCAAGTCTCACAATTATTTGTGTAATTTGTCTTTTTGTCTTTAACTCTGTAAACTCCTTGAAAGCAGAGATGATTTTATTCTGTGTATCTTCTATGGGCAATGCCTTGCATATAAGTTTGTGCTAAGCTGGTATCTGCTGAGCTGAATTTAAAAGGAATAAAGAGGCTCAGCGCCTGTAGCACAGTGGTTACGGCACAGGCCACATACACCCAGGCTGGCAGGTTCAAATCCAGCCGGGCCAGCTAAACAACAAAAATAAAAAACTATCTGGGCGTTGTGGCAAGCACCTGTAGTCCCAGCTACTTGGGTGGCTAAGGCAAGAGAATCTCTTATGCCAAAGAGTTTGAGGCTGCTGCTGCCTTGATGCCACAGCACTCTACAGAGGGTTATAGAGTGAGACTCTATCTCAAAAAAAAAAAAATAAAAAGAATAAACAATTTTGGTTAGAGTCATGAAAACTGACACTGAAATGGAAGGAACTTAAAGCTCATCTACTGTAACCATTTCATTTTTTAGATGAAGAGATTAAGGGAACTGATTTGCTCAAGGTCACATCCTTGTTAGTGGACTGGCAAGGACAATTGATATAAAAGGTCACAAATCTCTGAGTATCTATGAGTGCTCACTTGGCACCAGTAGGCACAGCAGACCATCAAGAGTGACCAGACCAATGATAGTGAGGCGGCTAGCCTGCCAAAAACACGTTGTATCACATACTCTCTTCAACAAATTGAACTAAAACACATCTTTTTATAGTTAGATAATGTCTTAAAAATGAGGGTGGATTTTAAAAAACAGGAAGACAAACTTTGGTAACCAGCAGACATTATTACAACAATATTATAAAGACCACCAGGGTGATAAACTCAAGCTGAAAGTCACAATGAAAACATTTCATACACTTTGGAAAAGCTTTAGCTTTAGCTGGAGATCTTGGTGAGAACCTTCAGCAGTAATTCTTTGGTTAAGGTCATGGAAACAGAGAGCACCGGCAATCTGCTACTACGTCATGTTCACACTTCCTTTTCTCCCTTTCTACCACTGCCCAGTGTTCATCCCTAGGTTTGTTTACATTTTTACTTATTTTCCTTTCCTTTACTAATTTACTTATAGAAAGACATAGGTGACTGCCCCCAAATCTGTCCTAATTTTATCACTTTGTTCTTCTCTTGTGATAGAAGAAACAGTAATTGTTTAATCTCTTCTCTATCCTTATCCTGAAATGGAATCATTTTCTCTCACCCAAAGATGAAAAGCCCAACAAAACATGCTGTGGGGGTAACAGTGTGTACCTAGGTAGGAAAACAGACCTTTCCAGGGAATCTCTGTAGTTTTTACTTGACCAGAAAAGCTCAGTTCTTAAATGTTAGCTACAGGATTATTTCATCTGTCTCTACCCGGTGAGCATTTGACTCGTTGTTACTCATCAGAGGAAAAGTTCGGTAGAATTCATCAAACTCTTTTTGGCCAGTATGGTGAAGCAGTGCTATGGATGGAGCCATCCGTTCACTACCGACACCCCAGCAGCCACATCAATGAGTTGGGCTCAAGAGTTCTTCACTGTTTTTCCTCACCCACCATATGGCTGGACAGATTATCAACACTTGACCTACAGAACCTCCTTCTCTTTTTTCCCCTGGCAACTACATTAAAATTATAAAGGCAATTGCTGATCAATAGTACATTACAGGGAAAAAATTACTCAGCAACATATAAATCCTTCATGTAATTAGTTAAGTGTATATTTTAAATACACCTAACATTTTAGTTAAATTATGCATTGCATAATTGAATAGAGCCTATACTCTTCTTGTGATTTCATGAACCCCTTCTTTCTCAGCCCCACATCCTTCGGCTATGATCTTACTTTCATTCTTTGGCTAATTGTCACCTATCTCCATGTTCTTATTTCCCCTCTTGCCTTAGTACAACACACCTGAGGGCCTCCCAATCAGAACTGCTGCATGCTGTGTCATGTTTTATTGCTCACAGCGTGTTACACTCAAAAAATGACCCAGGGATGGGTGGCACCTGTGGCTCAAAGGAGTAAGGCACTGGCCCCATATGCTGGACGTGGCAGGTTCAAACCTAGCCCTGGCCAAAAACTGCAAAAAAAACCACAAACAAACAAACAAAAAAAGACCCAGGGAAAGTAATTTCATGGGGTTTCATGTTTATTCTCTTTTAATGACCTCTATAACCAGTGTACTTAGATTTTAAAGGTAAAGGTAATTTTGAGGGATTGCTGGTGCCACAAATTCTCCCTGGAATCTGGAAATGTAGCTGTTCTCTCTGCCTTTTACATCATCACTGTAAAGAGATGAGATCTGATTTTGGAAACCAGCTGGCAAGTTCCTTGATGGTGTCAGAGGCAGAAGAGACAGTGAGGTCATCACTTCCCTTTAGCCTCTCATCATTGATATCTCTGCAGATCTGTCTTGAAGCCCCTAGGGAGCAGGGCTGTTATGTAATATGCTGCCACATATTACCGTCAGAAAATCTGTGTAAAGGTCTTTCAGTATAGCCTGTCCCATTCCTAGGAAAGCACACCAAATCATTCTAAATTTATAGAGGGGGAGGGACTGCTGATTAAAATTTACAAAAAGATAATAGTAAATAACTACCATTTATTGGATGTCAGAGACTGAACCAGGCATTTTTGTATATACATTCTTGTTTAATCCTCACAGCAATGTCAAGCTGTAGGTTTTAGTGTATCCATTTTACAGATGAGGAAAAGTAAGGTTCAGTAAGCGCATGTCATTGGTCCAAGATGGGAAAGCTAGCAGATAATGAAGCCAGAATCCAAACCCAGATCTGTCTGACTCTAAATCTGTGCTCTTTACACCATCCAGTTGTCCCTAGATTGCATGGACACATTTCTAGTTACTTCTGTGATTTAGGCACAGAACTAGCTGATGACCACACAGTAGCCTTTAACTTCTAGGTAGCTCAGCTTTTCTGTTTGTTATTTCCAGGATAGCGAGCCTCTAGAAAGATTTGGGAGCACAGACCTCTGGTGAAAGAGCTATATCAGGAACTATCAATAAGTATAGTTCCTTCCTTCCTCCTTGCTAATTGAAGATAAGAATTTTTTTTTTTAATCAATCTTCTCAAACTCTAATGATTCCCCCAGCATTTCTGATTCAGCAGGTCCGGGTGGAGTCTGCAATACTCTGCACTTCTAACAAGCTCCCAAGTGGTGCTAATGCCACCGGTCTGGGTACCACAGGTCTTATGTCTGACAGTCTCCTTCCAGCTGAAGGTTGTGTCTGAAGGAGTTCAAGCCAAGTAACTGGGCTGGCAGCTCACAGGGCGCGACTGGTTTCTGATTCTGGGCTGGTTAGGTCATCGGGCATTACACAGAATTCAAGGAGTTTCTGGCATAGAGCATATTGTAAAAAAAAAAAAAAAAAAAAAAATCATTTCTAGATCCCCAGGGCTTCTCTCCCTTTTGGAAATTCAAAACGATCATGTCTCTAACATGTAACGTTCCTATTTTTTACATTATTGTTAATTTTAACAATAATTATCTGGTAATAATTCAAATAACACCTTTCCTCTGAGAAATTCAATGAGCTTTACTAACCTTAATTGTCTAACAGCAATTCCCATGTGTAGATAAAGCTGTCTCAAAGATCACAGTAAATTTAAAATTGTTCCACTTCCCTCGTTTCT